CGCTTCTGACTGTACCCAGTGCTTGTATAAATAAAATCTTAAAAAAAAACCCTAAAAAACAAATCCTTCCAATCAAAACTTCCTTTTTCTATAGCTCTCCATTTTCTTTTGGTCTCCACTTCCTAATACATAAATAATTATTTCTAATCCATTAGTAGTCATTGCAGAAGTGGAATTTCACATATTGTGTCAGCTTGTGTGTGTGTTGGATTCTAAATAAAACTCACCGTATTCTACTCTACATATGCTACATATGCTGGCCTTGACTGTCCTAATTTTTTTTCCTAAGACACCATATCTCGAGATATTAGCCAGAGAATAAATAGGGGGAAATCACTGTTTGAAACACACACACATACACACACACACACACACACGCACGCACGCACGCACGCAGAAAATATCTAAGGGGGTTTTGAGGTGGCTGCATCCATCTAACCCCTTGGCCTCACCAGTTCCTAAGTGGCTCTCTGGCGGCCAGTGGCCTGCTCAGCCATCAATGTCTGCCTCATGCTCTGCACTGCTCCTAGTGTGGCCCTAATAGGAAAGTGAGCGGTACTTATCTGGTCTCCTTCTGCTCTTGTTGTATCTTGCACCTCTTACAATAACTGGCATGATTTCTCCCCCAACTGTTGTACTGTATAAAATGCTTGTGGTTGTAAAGGTTAAATAGTATTCAAATTCCAATGCAGCAAGTATAGTGATAGTTAAGTATCTGCCTGCAGAATATCAGTCTTTGGCCACATCTTCAATAAACATTTGAAGTAAGATGTTCTAGCATTGCTGAATCAGCCTCTTTTTGGTTGAGGCCTGTATCATTTCAGCCACTTTCCACCTGCAGGCTAACTTAGTCTCTTAGATACCTAGGACTTAGAGGACAAAGTTCCGTGTTAACCTTCCTAGCAGGTCATAAAAGCTCCTTTGCCTTCCATCTCTGCATCACTCCTCCCACCGCATCCTCAGCCCCTGGGTATCACTCACTCTTTAACTTTTTGTTCTTCCCACCTCCATGTCTGCATACCACAATCCTTTTCCCTTGGTCTGTTCTTTTTAGACTTCTCCAGATGATCAATGTTTGTTCATCTTTCAAGTTTCATGTGAAAGGTCACTCCTAGGAGCTCCATGGATTCCCCTGGGAGCACTCTCCTCAGACACTACCTAACTTTTCTACCACAATGAACTAAAAATTCTGTGAAAGCTGAGGCCCTGCCCATTCCTAAATGCTTATCACAGATTCTAACATCAGTCAAATCCCCGTGAAGGTTTGAAAAGTGACCCACCCTGGGGAGAGGGGCAAGAACAAAGAGGGAAAGAAGCACACTGGACCATGGTGGACGATGGATGATTTGGTGGTAATGCCTGATGGGGGGCTTCCAAATACTACCTCAATTAAAAGTAAATAAAATAAAAAATTATATAAATAAAAAAGTGACCCACCCTGCAGCACTAATGCTCCACCCTGGTGCTGAATGCAGACCTGGCCCCTTCCAAGCCCTGCACACCACTACCTCTGTGACTTAGCATTTCTTACTCCCAGGTTTTACCCAGTTTGTGCTTTCATATAGTTCAGGTACAAGTATGTCTCCCTCACTAAATTATACACTCTGTAGAGTAGAAACAGCATCTTCTATATCATCTACATTTTCTGGTTTAAGACTGCATTAGAGGCTAGATTTGTTATGTAGGTGAATAGGCAAAGCCCATGGTATCTGTGGGTATGACTTGGAGGAGGTAGCGGGTTGACTGGGAGTTTTCGATATCAGAGAAGCTCTAGGTGAGCTTTCTACTCTAGGTGGCTTTCTAACTCCATTGGAAGATGAAAATTGCTTGAGACTTCTTGGGTGGTTCTCTGAGGGACAGCACATGGGGGAAAAAAGGGAAAGGATGCAAGGCCGGGCCATAGCACACTAAACTCAGAGATGAAGTAGCATGGTAACAGAAAGCATCCAGTACCCTCAGGAGCCTCAAAACTCACTGACTGGAACTAATAATAGTAGTAGTTATAATAATAATGATTATAAAATGATGGAGGAAATACTCAAAATGTTAACAGCAGTTATACCTACGAGCTGTAAAATTACAGTCATTTAGGGTCGTTGTAGGTTTCTCCCTCTTGTTCTCTAAACCTCAACTGTCATTCTCTCTGGAAACAATATGTGAGTGGACAGTGTTTTGTTTGTTTTTTAATTATGCTTTAAAATCCACAGCATACTTTACCTCGAGAGTCCCAGTCGATATGTGTAATGTAACTAGAAGCACCTTTACAGATGCCAACCCTTTTGCTTGTAAGTACATTGTAAATGTCCACAAAGTTATCATGGGATGCCACAGCAAGGTATTTTCCTGTATCTATAAAGAAAAAAGTGCTTTAGTTAACACCAGAAGAACCTATGCAGGAATTTATTTCCAAGGATTTACCATTTTTAATTGGGGGAAAGGTCAAGGAAATACTCTTAGTCCACTGTTGTAATTTTTGTCCCAACTCATTTAAAAAATTCTCACCTCTTGATTTAATCCTCACCTTTTGAAAATTTAATATCAGAAATCATTTCTTTTCTATGGTGGAAGGAGACCATGTCTTCAACAGTATCAGCATTTACCACCAGGAAACTGCCATCATTCAAACCCACTGCTAAGGCTTTCCCGTCAGGGGAAAAGGCACAGCATCTCCCACCTATACACATTAGAAACAGAAATTCCACATGATCCAGTTATCCCACTTCTAGCCAAAGAATGCAAAGACACTAACTTGAAGAAATATATGCATCACCATGTCCATCACAGCATTCACAACAGCCAGGGGTTGGAAACAACCTAAGGGACTATACACAGGTGGGTGAAAGGGTACAGAAGATGTGGCATACTATTCAACCTCCCCTCCCCCCCCAAAAAAAAAGAAAAAGAAAAGATGAAATCCTGCCTTCTGCAATGAACCTAGGGGGCATTATGCTTAGTGCAATAAGTCATACAAAGAAAGACAAATACTTTATGACTTCACTCATATATGGATGATAAAGAAACAAAACTAATGAACATATAAAAACAAATTCTTAAAAGCATAAGAACAACAGTGGTTACTAGAAGGGAACGGGGAAAGAGGGCTAGTGAGGTAAAAGGGGCTAATTGTACAGTGAAAGGTGGAACTAGACTTTCAATGGTGAACAAAATATAGCACATACACGGGTTGATTTGTATGCTGTACACCTAAAACCTATATAATATTATAAACCAATGTTACTTCAATAAAATATTTTTAAAAAAGAATACGCAAAGAACAGTTATTAACCATGATTTTACTATCAAATAAACCAAATGAAGATATGGAGAAATTTGTATATGTTTACAATGTGTGGATATGTGACTGTGTCTTTAACACTACTTCTGAGGAAAGTGAAAACTTCCCAATCACAAACATTTCTTCCAAGGACTAAGATTATAATGTTAAAAATATATTTATAATTTCTTTGAGCTTTGCCCATTCATTTCTTAGTACCTGAATACCTTGTCTTTCAAAAGACAAGTTGAATAATTGTGGGAAAGGAGTGATGGATTAATAAAATCCATTACAATAAAATCCAGTATCTTTGGTTTCATGAGAAGAGGTGATGCTTAATTAGTAATCAAAAAGGATAAACTCATGCCATTTGCAGCAGCATGGATGGAGCTGGAAGGGATCATGCTCAGTGCAATAAGCCAGAAAGAAAAAGAAAAATACCAGATGGTCTCACTCATAGCAGGAATTTAGAAAACCTAAATAAGGGATCAGGTAAAAGACTAATTATAATAAAGTAAAAATCAAAATCAACAGGCAACTATCAACCAGAGACACACCCCAGGTGGGGAGAAGGGAGTAGGATCAAAACAAGGGTGGGGGGAATTTTACGGGGATTATAACCAAGGTGAAAATGCATACATTGTACAAAAATGAAAAATGATGTAAAAAATATAAAATAAAAAAAAGAATAGGAGTTCTGTAATGAAATTTCTAGAAACGTTTTTGATATCTCATGCCTGATATACAATTGCTTTAGAGAACATCATTTTACTTGTAGTCACTCAAATTCTCAGATCCATGGATCAAAATGCGTAATTTTAGAGGTGAAAGATTTTGTTCCTTTTCTGTGATGAGAAAAATGCATTTTTGTTGGGTTTGTAAAACTAAGCAGCCCTAGGCTGACCTTACGTGACCTTATGACAGGACCCAGAGCTTCTCTGCTCTATATGGTCATAGGAAGACCTTTCTGAATGAGGAGTGTGAGCCCTGGGGAGGAGGGTATGTTTAATAGGAATCTCCCTCCTGGCCCCCATTCTTATCATCAAGACTGTGAGAAGCACAGCCCAGGCATGGGGCCATCATGCAGCCCCGAGCCAAGACATTTCAGTTGAGCATCCAGACACACCATTCTGTCACTATTCCAGGTGTGCTGGAAGTTATGCTCATAGCAGTAACTTTAAATTGCCTCATCTAAATTATATTCATTCATTTAGTTAGCAAACAGTTATTTACCTTGTGTGAGTCAGATATAGTACTAGTGCTGAGAAAACAAAAAGACGAATCTTCCCTTGAAGAGAACCATCAATATTAGGTTAACCACAATTTTTTTTATTGCATACACCAGGATATTTCTGAGACTGAAAAGGAGAGTTATTAATTATACCTGGACAAGCTGTAAAATGGGCTGAATGATCATCCTATTTAAGGTAGTTAGTAGTTGTACTTCTGAATTCACTCACAGTGAAGAATAAGTCTATCAGTTCTCTGATATAAGTTAGTGAGCAGATGAATCAACACTGCAGTGGTTAAGAGCATGGGTTTTGAAGTCAGTGTCAAGTTTGAACACTTTCTCCACGGCATACTAAAGCTCAGGTTAAGTATAAAGAGAGCCCATACAGTGGAGGAGGAAGAGCACATTGCGGCCACAGGCCACTCCCTGAAGTCTCGCTGCTTGGGTTTGATCACTTCCATCAATTACCAACTGTCTGATTTAGGGCAAACTTAGGTTTTCTGCACCTCAGTTTCCTAATCTGTGAATGGTAATGATAACAATCTTACTCTGTGGAAAGGGCTGGTAGAGTCAGCCCTAGACATGAGGCATTGTCATTGTTGTACTACTGGTTTGACATCTTTTTTATAAATTTATCTCCCTAGAAAACACTCCATGTCTTTCTACTTATAAAAAAGCTCAGTACAAATATTTCAGGACCAGGCTGTAATCTTATCTTTTCTAATCTCAAGAACTACTAGAAATCTTTTGATCCTCAGCTTTCATGGTTCCTCCCTGATAAACACTTTCTTCTGAGCCTCTATAGTACCTCTTTTGGGCCAGGTTTCTTTGGTTTGCCTCTCCAAACCTCCACCCTGCTATGTGTCAGGAGTGAACCTGCACAGACTACATCAATGGGCTCCTGTGCCCTTTTGCTTCTGAGTGGGATTGGTCAAGGAAAAGCACAGGCAGGAGTTGGAAAGAGGGAAAGATAAGGGGTTGGATACTAATGACCCCGATGACCCACTGCATACTGGCTGAGTCTCCCAGTTGATGTTCAGAGCTCCCGTCAAGCGACCATCTCTATAGCTCTCACCTTCCAAGGTTCTAGCAATTGCTCACTTCTTTTGCTCCTTAGACCCAGAGTTTGTAATGGTACAAGCGCTGCATAGTGCTGCACGATCTCTGGTCATTTCTCTTCACCTTACCCACCCTCCTATAAAAAGCCCTGCTTTTAGACTCTTCTCACATTACCTAATTTAAATACATCATCCTTTGCTGGAATTTAGTTCAAATCTTTTCATCTTTAACACTAGAGATGGGTTATTGTGGGTACCCCAGCACTTGACACATAAAAGCTACTTAATAAATGTTTGCCAAGTTTGTACTTCTTGATACAGTTCTTAATTCTATTACATTTAAGTGTTTGATACATATATATTTATTTCTAATGTCAGTTTTTTTTTTATATATAGCTGACTTGTTTTTTCAGTAATATAATAAGCTCTGGAGACTGTTAGGCATTCTTTGCAAGCTAATATGCTTCAAAAGACTGGGCTAGTGCTTGATGAGAAGAGGAAGGACATATTGCCCCCAGGTGGCAAATGTATGTGCAGTGCAAGGAAAATGTAGTGAATAATAGAGTGAAGCACATATGAAGCAAGGTAGCATTCTGAATAATTCCACATGTGCTTAGTCAGGATTGTAGCAGTAAACACTGAATTCTCATTGCCTGGCATATTTGGCAACAGGTGCTCTCAGTAAATATCAGTTGAATAAATGAATGAATCCAACACATTCTGCTGTTTGCAAATACTTTCACAGATGTGTAAGGTGATGTCATGTACCTTTTTTGAGTTTCCGTACTGCCAGCATACGGTGCTGGGAGGATAATTCCCAGATCCGAAGTGTTTTATCATCGCTCACTGTTGCACAGATGGGCAGGAGAGGGTGCGCTGCCAGCCCCCACACTTCTCCCTCCATGTGCCCCTGTGGGAGAGGAAAGACAGTAACATAAACTTGCTTCTTGTTTCTTGGCAAGCCCTTCTGCAACCCTGTGATGTATATTCAGCCCAAGAGAATTAAACAAATTCAAATAGGAATAAACACAGTTGAGCTTCCTTGAGAAAAATGATAGCACTGAGTAACTTTTTCATTGGAACTTGAATCTAAAGCTGGGCCTACATGATGCCAGAGCATTCATTTGGAAACAAAAACATGGACTCATTACTTGCAAGTATTCTTTATATGATGTTAAACATGTTCCCATTCAGAAACATCTGGGTAAATAATAAAATGCTCATTATATGCTATTGTTTGACACTGAAAAACCACAGTACACACATACTTCCCTGATCATGACACTAACCACTTCCCTCAATAAAACTATGTTATAAAAGATGTAGGTGCCACCTATCTGTGTCAAAGGAATTGGACAGCAATATTCTTACTAACATAATTCCAGTTTTGTCCTTTGAATGCATAACATTTGGCAGAGCAGAAACAAAGACAGCTAATTTTTTTTCAAGTGTGCTGGGTATAACTCAGGTTCAGCATTTGTTTACAAATTGTCCTATCCAGTGAAAGGTACTTAATAGGTCACAAACCAATTCCACATACCTACATTGTATCCCAGACAATACTAAACTAGCTTAGAATAATACATGCGATAAAACAGTATTTAAAAAATGACTACTTAAGGAGAAATGATTCTGCTTCTATAATTTATCACTCAATAAAGCAAAATAAAGAACAAATTAGTATACTGAGCAACAGAACACATTAGAATGTTTATTGAATTTGTTTTCAGTGGCTAACTATAAAAGTATTTGCTTAGTAAAGCAAAAGGGAAGACTATACACAGTCATATGAAAGGTGTTTGTAGCTGGAACACTTTGAGGAACAGGTGGCTTTCCAAAGAGAAAGTGGATGATTCCAGCTTAACTGGGAAGCTGTTTGAGCAAAACAGTAATTTGACAGAAGATACGAAGTTCCAAATACAGATGACATTCAAATATTTGAGAAGGATTAAAGAGTAACGATACTGTTTTTCAAGTTCTTGGATTTGGTTTCAAAAACATGTCTATATTTACAGTTTTCTTTGCCTTAGAGGCCTCCCATCCCCAAGGTCACAGTGAGCGGATGGCGCAGGTATCAACCCCCATGTTTCATGGACTGGACTAGCTTGGAACCCTTCTACAAACTGAGCCCCTTAGTACATTCTCCTTGCTGACAGAGTTGTGGGGCTCTGAGACCCTTTTAAACTACTGTCTCATCTACTGATTCTTAAATTATATTTACTTAATTTGAGTATTTTAATTCCCGTATAACACAATGAGCAAGGCAGGCACAAGGAAATGAGTTTGGGGTCTTACTTTCTTACTGATCAACCATAATGCTGATAATAAACAGTTACATAATTAAGACTGGATCAATACACAAAGCGGGAATTTTCAGAAGCTGCCACATGCCATACCTCCCATCCCCTAATCAAGCTTGCCTTCTCTCAGAAAATAAGTAGCCTACTAAAGTGACACTGGAATATCACACTACTGACCAAAACTGTAAAAGTGGTTCTGGAATCTTCCTATATCAGGCTAGTTAATGGTCTTAATTGTTCTGCCTCTGTTATCCCCTATCTTTGCCTTAGTATATATTCTCTCTCGGGATGGAGCTGTGGGCCCCAGAAGAGGAAACACATGTCAGATCTCAGCAGGAGTCCAACAAACAATGATTGAATTACTGAGTTCTACCTAGGAGGAAACAGTGATAGAACAGAAGAGAAAAGAGAGATGCTGAAGGGAAAAGAATGGTACATCATTCTTCCAGCCCCCCCAGATCGCCCATAGCTCAGGCCACTGTATTTTCTGCACTGCTTTCTTACAGTCTGCACACCCAGAGACATTAGGGGAGCAGCCTGGTGAAATGAAAAAGAAAGGATTCTCATTGCTAACAAAACTTGGTTTGGATCCCAGCTCTGCCATTCTTAGCAGGCAGTTGTCTGCAATTCCTGGGCTTTGGGTCCCTAAGCTATAAAATGATTCCAAATGAGTGAATTGGCTGTGGAGATGAGAGACAAATTTTGTAAAACAGAATCACCTGACACCTAGTAGGTGCTCAAAAAAAAGGTAGCTGATTTTAGAACAGGGACCTTTCTTCAATAAAGACTGCTTGAAACTGGCAGAAGGCTCCCGTGGAGCCAGAGGTGAGCTGGGAAGTTCGCCCACGCCAGGCCCCTTCGGGCCAGCAGTCCGAGCCCAGAGGGTGAGCTGGCACCCACGGCCAGGGCATACCGGTGCACAGGAGAGTGCCTCTCCGCCTCGCCATTTTAGAACAGGGACCTTTCTTCAATAAAGATTGCCTGAAACTGGCAGAAGCTCCCCGTGGAGGCAGAGGGAGAAGGTTCCCTGTGCAGTCAGAGGTGACCTTAAGGCCCCCACAAGCCTGGTGCCTCCTGGCAGGAAGTCAGAGCCCAGAGTGCAATCCAGCTGCTGTGGCACCTCCATGGAAGTCTGTGGGACTTCAAGACACACCTCTGGAATTAAACACAGAAGGAGGAGATATTCTATGACAGTGACCATTAATATACTCAAAGTACCACTGCTTCATTAGACTTCTGGCATAACAGTATTTGACTCGTTTGCACTGCCAGTTTCCGAAACCCCAGAAAGAACACACCAAAAAGATGCTGTCCAGTACCAGCAACACAGTGTCCCAATGCATAGGGCAAATTAGAAGACAGGCAGCAAGGAAAAGAAAAACTACATGCAACGGAGCAACTCCTCAGAAAAAAGACACACCACGAAAAGAAAACCACCCACCAGGCTCAGAACTTCTGAGCCTTCCAGAAAAAGAATTTAAAATTGCCGTGATGAAAAAAATGACAGAAGTCATTAAGGAAAACAACGCTCAGAAGAATGAAATTGAGTCCCTAAGAGGGAAATGAAGGAAATGCAGTAGATCAAAGGATTAACAGAAGAGCTAAAGAATGCTGGGAAAATGGGCCTCCCCGGTGGCGCAGCGGTTGAGCGCTGGGTTGCGAAGCAGCCCGCGGCCTCTGCGGCACCGGTTCGATCCCCAGCTGCTCCCCAGCAAACAGACTTCAAACTCCAGGGTCCCACATGGTGCGCAGACCTCTCCTGCCGCCCGCTGCTCCCCTCAGCAGTGTACTTCGGTCCTTCTGCCTGCTCTGCTCCCCGCTCTGGCTCTGGTGAATTCTCTCACCCTCCCCTGCTTCTGACTGTACCCAGTGCATGTTTTAAAAAAAACAAACAAATAAATAAAATAAATAAAACATGCCTCTATAAAAAAAAAAAGAATGCTGGGGAAAAGCAGTGATAACAGAATAGATGAAATGGAGGAATGAATAAGCACTCTCGAAGACACAGAAATAAAAAGAATTAAAACGGAAAAGGAAAGAGAAGTACAAATGAAAAAAGACTAAAGAAAGACTTTAAGAACTATCTGACTTCATGAGGAAAGGAAATATAAGAGTTATAGGAATCCCAGAAGGAGAGGAGAGAGACCTAGGAACAGAGAAGATATTCAAGGAAATAATTGAAGAGAACTTCCCAAACATGAAGAAGGAGCTGAAAATAGACATACAAGAAGGAAGAAGAACACCAAACTTCCATGATGAAAGGAAAAATACAGCAAGACACATAACAGTAAAGCTCCCAAGAATCCAAGACAAGGGAAAAATAATGAAGCTGACAAGAGGGAAGAAACAGATAACATACAAAGGAAAACCAATCAGGCTGACATCAGACTTCTCTGAAGAAACACTACAGACAAGGAGAGAGTAGAGGGACATAGTCAACAGACTCCAAGACAACAAATGCCAACCAAGAATATTCTATCCTGCAAAGCTTTCCTTCCTCTATGAAGAAAGAATAAGGACCTTCCCAGACAAACAGAAACTCTGGAATTTCATTACAACTAAACCTCCACTCCAAAAAATACTACAAGGAGTCCTAAAGCCAGAACCAACAGAGGGATGAATAACAACGAAAGAAGGCCAAAAAATAGTTATTAAAAGAATAAATAAATAAAATCAAAGGAAAGACAAACACAATGGCAAATACAGATGCTAACATATCAATATTAACTCTAAATGTAAATGGATTAAACTCTTCAATAATAAGAAACAGAGTAGCAGGCTGTATTAAGAAACAAAACCCAACCTTTTGCTGTTTCCAGGAAACACATTTAACTACAAAAGATAAAAACAGACTCAAAGTTAAAGGATGGAAAACAATCCTACAAGCAAATGGACCAAAAAAGAAAGCAGGAACAGCTATACGTAGATAAAACAGACTTCAAACTCAAAAAGGTAAAAACAGACTTCAAACTCAAACCCCAACGGTCACTACATTATGATCAAGGGGACAATACTTCAAGAAGAAATAACATGCATTAACATATACTCACCAAATGAAGGAGCACCAAAATATATGAGACAACTATTATCATCTCTGAAAACAGACATCAGAAAAAATACATATGTTGTAGGAGACTTCAACACACCACTATCAACAATGGATAGATCGATCAGACAAAAAATAAGTAAAGACACTAAAGCTCTAAGTAAGGATCTAGAGCGCTTGGGCTTAACAGACATCTATAGAACACTAAACCCCAAAAAATCTGAGTACACATTTTTATCAAACGAACACAGATCATTCTCCAGGATCGATGACATACTGGGACACAAGACAAACATCGACAGATACACCAAGATTGAAATCATATCAACCATCTTCTCTATGAAGGCATCAAACTAGAAATAAACCATAAAAGGAAGGCAAGGAACTCTCCTACCTCATGGACATTGAAACCCACACTACTGGAAGACCACTGGACTAATGAGAAGATCAAAGAAGAAATTAAAAAACACTTTGAGTTGAATGACAAGGAGCACACCAATTTCCTAAATGTATGGGATGCAGCAAAAGCAGTAATAAGAGGAAAATATATAGCAATAGAGGCTC